GTGCTAAAAGAAGTTATATCACGTGAATCCTCGTGTAAGGGGATTTGGTGGAATCCAGAAAAAAGATCTAAAGTGGAAAAATATTTACCTCTGCCAAGATTGTCTAAAATATCGTCAACTCGTGCGAGAGGGAATTTATCCGCAATAAGTTTTTTATTGTCTGCGGGGAAATCAACGCACATACGATATGCTTTTTGAGTATTAGTAGATTTTTTTGGAACCAAAATTAGGGGACTATTGTAATTTGAATAACTTCCTTCAATTAAATTGTTATCTAGTAATTTGTTAACTTGGCGAGTTATCCCTTCACGTTGGGAATATGGCAGAGGATAGTTTTTTACATATACCGGGTCAGTGTCAGTCAGCCTAAGTTTCTGTTCATAAAAATTGTTTAGTGTCATTTTGTCATTGTCAAGAGCGAAAATGTCTGCATATTTGATGCAAAGGTCAGGTAAGTTGTTGTTAGTTCCTGTGGAGATTTGGTTTTTCAATATACTTGTTAATTCGTTCGTTCGTGAGTCTTCCGTCTTGGTTTTATTAATTGAGTAAACGTGATAGTCAGAAAGTTTTCCGGTCCGAATATTTACATTCTTTACATGTTTTACGTCATCAGTGGTATTTATGATTTTAATAATTGGGTTACTGCTGTTAACTATGCATCTTGTTCAACTTCCTGTGATTCTACAACAAGTGGATCCGGCGAATTGCCAAAATCGAAAATTCTATAAACTTCGCATCTGGGTGGTATGATACAAGTGTCGCTTTCGGTTCCGTGTAGGATTAGTATCGCGACTTTTTCATTGCCGTTCCAGAAGGATATACGATTGCTTGCATAGCTAATAACGCATTTGTTACTTTTCAGAAAATCTTTACCCAGTATACCATTAGATGGTATGTTAAAATCGTCGTTTACTACATGTAAAGTATGTTTAATGTAAAAATCAGTAAAAGTCAAGTTTACGGTAATCGTACCTAAAGTAGAAACAGTATTAGAAGTGACACCGGTAATGTTAATTATATCGTTTGTATTTATAGGAAAATGTCTATCAATACTAGAGTTTTTTATTAGAGAAATGTCGGCTTGCGTGTCGATTAAAAACGTACAAAATTTGTTCGACCTATTAATTTTCAATTCGATAAAGTCAGAGTAATTCAAATTTAAGCAATAAATGCCGTTTGTAAAAAAAGATTCATCTAATTGTCCAATTTTTCCGCCCTCAGTGTTCGCTCCTGAGGGGCGTGGGCGTTTAAAGCGCGCACATTAGCATTATTGCGTGAATTTAGACGTCTACTACTATTATTGTTGCTGTTATTATTTCGATTATTGTTGCCTGATGACCGATTAATATTATTGTTGAAATTTTTACCGTTATACCTTGGACCGTAATTGTTGTACCTACTGTTATTACCGTTATTATTGTACCTATTGAAATTAGAGTTATTTTGCCTGAGATTGATATTGTTGTACCGATTGAAGTTTTGACCTCTGAAGCTACCTCTAAAACTATTTGGCCTGTTTACTCGGGATCGAAACGCTAACACCTGACGCTCTTTCACTTGATTATTTTGTTCGACTATCATTTTTGCCACTACGTCCTTTGAATCACTGAAGGTAGTTGACGATAAAATTGATTTGACCAAATCCGACCGAGTATTAAGTCTACAAACGTTAACTGTTTGCTCGACTGCCGTTTCATGGGCCTTAGATTGTGTCATACCTTCAATGATCAAAGAACGCTCTAATGCATCCGAGAGCTCCTCGACACGCTTAGCAAATTCCGTATAATGGTTATTTGTGACATGTAAAGATGCAATTTTCCCAGCTACAACTTTCGAGTTGTCTGGCTTTATTCTGTTTCTCAACGCATCTTTGATCTGTCGAACTGAGCTAACCTCGGTTGGAATTGCTTCACGTGCCTTGCCTTCGAGCTTCGATTTTAAAAATGGTATAAAAGTTGTATTTAAATTTTCGTCTGCAAAATCTTCAATTAAATTGATTTTGTCGATAAATGATTCAAGTGCTAGCGGATCTCCGTTGTAATATTCCCTAATAATTGAGGCACAAAGACTAATAAAGGATCTTTTCTGTTCAGTGGTAGCCATGTCTAAAAATTCTTGAAAAAATGTAGAAATATTTGGTGAACTGGTAGCTGTTGACGGCTCGTCGGATACAGTTAGCAGATCTTTAAATGATGGAAGTGAAGTACTTCTTTTAAGACTGAATTGTACCGAAGCTTCTGACTTGGCGTCACTAAACTCTTCTTCTGACTAAGAGTCAGCTAGGTCTGATTGGCAAATTAGCGATAAGCTATCAGGTGGAATTCTAACACGGCAATTCAGTTTAATAAAGCACTTTGCTAACTGTTCCTTGCAGCGGGCTAATTTACCCTGCACTTCCTTGAGATTACTGGTATGGACGAACTATTGCCAATAACTAGTAGTAAACTATTATTGTAAGCTGTAATAAGCGAATATTTGTATTCGTTTAATTTTTTCGCATTCGTAGACAACGGTCTATTTTGTAAAATGCGCTTAGTCATCTTATTAAAATATGCTTTATAAGCTTTAAATTGTATATCGAATTCGCTCATAACCGGCGAGTCTCAAAGAAGTGGAGGCCCAAATTTACAAAACAAGCCATCGTTCACCATATTAAAGTCAAAATATTAAAAAAATCTAATTGTGAAAAAATACTTATGTTTTTCTCAGTAGGTCATCGGCTGAAATTTGTCATGCAATAAAAAGGGCTTTTTCATGCAGTCGGGATATTGGGTATTTTCGTGCCGTTCACATGCAATGCAAAAGAGTTTAGTTTGATTAAAATTTGGTTTTTATTTTATTTTAATGTTTGATTTTAGGCAAAGCAGTTTTTACCTACTTCTGTACACAGGTGTATGGTACTACATTTTTAAATTTGTAGATTCGCTGTGTTTTTAAATTCAAATTTGTGATGATATCCGCGCACTTATAACGAATAATGCAAAAGTTGTAATTAAGTTTTAAAAGTTCAAAAAGTCACTTAGATATAGTAATATGAAGGTTCAATGGAAAAATATTTTTTTGTTTTGTTGCAAGTAAGCGAAGTGGGGAAAAGAGAGATTCTAATAAATATTAATAATAGTTCTGTGAAAAATTGTATGATATATTTTTTTTTAAAGTAAACCGTTTGAATATATGAATGTATGTAATCCAAACGGGGATTTAAAAATTATTTAAACAGCAAGGGAATTGAAGCAGTGTAATACGAAAAATTGTATATTAAAAATATATATCACTTATGTATATGGTACTCAAAATTAAACGAAAAACATTGAATCACTCACGTCAACTTATATACTAATTTGAAAATAGTTTCCGATAAAAAAATTATTTAATCACTTATATCTAATTTGAAAAAAGATAAACCGCTTATATGCGTATGAAAATAGGTTAAGTTGCTTATAAATATATGATATGAAAATGTGTTGAATCTCTTATATAGCTAGAAATTTTGAAATATTTTAATTTTTAGTGTATTTGAAAGAAAAACGCGACGCGAAAGAAAAATGCAACAAAGTTTAGGGCTGAGCTTAGCACTTATGTACCTAGGTGGATACTTATAAAAAAGTTTAAACTTTATATTTAGAAACTAGGTGGTATGAAAAATTAAAATTTGCATTTAAATTTTTAGTAGAAAATTCACTGTGTGCATACTAATGTGCGTATATAAGGAAAGTGTATGTATATAAGATGTACGTAAAGATATTTATATAAACTTAAATTAATTCGGCCTTACTCCTTGGATGACTGTACCCGATATTACTGCTTTCGTTATCCCGTGCTGCTATGTAAAAATTTTAAATTTTTTTGTGTTGTGTATTATACTGCCTCCCTCTCTGCTGTCTCAAAATTGAAAAACTCCATTTTTAGGTTTTGGTGGCGTGGTTATGCCGTTACAAGTGCAGTTGCGGGGGGATACTGCATATTCTATCTTGTATCACTAGTTAGCTGGTGAACTGCTATGCAACCGCTGGCATATAGGTATGTACATATATTAACGGTGGCGTGGGCTTTTGTGGCTTGCCGCTATGCGAA